AATAACATACAAATAGAATTAGTTAGTGTGTGAACTTGTTACTCTCTCTGATTTTATTTTCTAAAATATTTGCTGTGAGTGGCAGGTAATAATCTACTGCTCTTTGTGAATCATCTTGATATCTTTTGTTGTGATGCATGCATACACACGTGTTTGCAGAGATTGTTGTGAATAAAAAAAATGTATTAAATATTTGTTCAGAAAATTAATTGTGTATGTTTGTATTTTTGTTTTCATTGCCTACAGCTTGGTTTAATTCAAACCCAACAGGTATTGCATGTTTTTTAGCATGATTAAATAATATCAATTGAGTGTTTTAATTTTTTTAAGTTTGTTGTTGATTCATAAGAATATGTATTTCCTTACATTGTTCATTCACAACTGGCATCCTATAGGTATCGCCCTCTAGTGGTGAGGTTTATGTGATGTTAAAATGATATAATATATCACAATTAAGTTTGTTATTTGGAATATAGTCAATCTTTCAAAAACATATTTATTAATAAACTAATATAGATTCAAACAGTATTGACACTTTGAATGACTTTCCTTTTATCCACGTACGTCACATTTGCTTCATTGCTGGAGGGTGCGTTGATAACCCCATCTATAGTTCTCTGTTTGCTATGTTAGTATATTTTGATTCTGATGCCAGTGGTTAGGTCAATTTTATAACCAGTTGCCATTAAATAGATTGCCCTAAATAGATGGATACCAAGATGATGTAATTTTGTCATATCCAAATTCAACATGTTCAGTACAAAACTGAAATCACATCTCAAAACTACATCTTCTTGAAGCTCAGACAGTGTCATGTGTACAGTAACCTAGCAACCAGAAAACATTTCACCAATCATGAATTCAATTTAGATTTAGTTACAAGAATATTTTATAGCTAGTGACTAACAATTAATATTCTATGTAATCAAGCTGATACTATACTGAGCTTTACTTATATACTTTGGATTTCAATTATTGATGATTGCATGAGTTGATTTTGCAATAAATACAATTCATTACATAAGGTAGTTTACAGTTTGAGAGTATTAACTAAATATAAACTGAAATATTAACTGAAACTAAATATTGATGTGGACCTCCTTAAAAGTTACTATGGAACACTGTATTTGACTTAGTTGGAATATGATTTTATCCTAATAAATAGACATGGGGTAATAGGGTACATGTCTATCATATATGATCCAAACTGCCACATTTTATTTGTGTAAGTTTTCAAATAACTAGTTATTGTCACACTAGTAGATTAATTAATCTTGTTGTTGACATTGCCACACATTATCAGTTAAAATGCTATGGATCAGAATTTAATCTGTCTAATCTCAATTTATTTACGTCAGATTTCTATGATCCGTCAGTGGCTGCTCCGTATGGCACTGATCCAGCGTACATGAAGATAATGACCAAAGAAGATAGAATTAAGGTCAGTGAAAATACCGTTATCTGTTTATCTCAAGTCTTGGTGGTTAATGGCCAATTTGCATAATTAGGGGAATCACATCTTGTAATAACTGAATTTTTATTGACCTTAAAATGCACCATATGCATGCAGTTAGGTTAAATATTTGATATGTTCACACGACAGCATTCTATCGGAGCCGAACGACTGCTCCTTCCACAGATTAACAGGAGATTATCTCCAATGCGTTTACATGGTCTGGCCAAATGAGAGCCGAGATTTCCCTAGAGTTCAATCCAGTTCGTTCAGAGCTGAACAGAACAGCATCCTCAATTGCTTAGTATGAAAACAACATGGCTGAAAACGATTTTGGTGTTGTGCTTGTGTTGTGGTTTCTTTACATGGCACAATGTATGTCAGAGTATTATCCTGTTGATGTGCGAGAAAGAAAGAGTCATGAGTCTGAGGCAATGATTTAGGTATCTTGAATATAACAGGATACATAGCAGCTAAAATACACTAAATGTGTTATATCCTATTCACATAAGTTATTGTCATTCAAATTTACCATCTTTTAATTGTTCAACTGTTGTCACATATGTAATAATTGGCAACGTAAACCTAGTAGGGACACGTCAGCAAACTGTGACCACTTCTTCTATTTCTATTGGATCTGTTCAGTTGTATAATATTGTACACCATTTTTCTGTTTCTTGTTGAGCTACATCTTCACTCTGCCAAATAGATATTAGGATGCATACTTTTTCATCAAGCTAGAAATTACAAACGTGGTCTCCACCATAATTGAAATGAGCGTTTACTTGAAGAAGATGATTGAGGGTGTGATTTCGGCCTGATTGTTAAGCCTTGATTGCATTTACATGGTCTGAGCCCAATCAGAGCTCAAAGCGTATACACGGTCATTATTGCTGGTTTTAGCCGTAGGGCTGATAAAATTAATGATAAAATATTGTTGTGTAAACGCAACAATTGTTTGCATGTTTGTAGAAGAGATTGATCTCGAAATGTGCTTAACAGGATTTGAAATTCTGATGATAAGTTTTCTGGTGGGGGGTATACCTGCATAGTTTACTAGTAGTTTCTTAAATTTTGAGTAAAATGGAAATATAGAATCTTGATTAAGCAAAAATATATGTATGTCTCTCTTTAACGAGAGCCTTTATCCCACCAAGACAATGATATTGTTTTTAAATGAAAGACAGTTTAACGAAGACTTGATCTGAAAAACTATCTCAGTGTTGTTAAAAAGCTACTCCAACTAAATTGAGAAATAGTGCTCACAATCTTAAAATTGAAGCAGATACATTGGACAGAAGTTAGAACACAGAAAACATCTCTACTGTAAGACAACCAAAACAAGGATTATTGCCATTTCATACTAAATTGTGGTCATTACAATAACTTCAGAATGGAATTTTTTGAAGACAACAACAAGACAACAAACAAAGGAGATATAGAAAATGTTTTCACAGTCTAATGAGTCTCAGTAAATACATATTCAAGTGTTGAATCAGTACATGACATCTTGGCCTTGCACAGGGTGCTATGAGATCGCTGGACAAAGGTGTGTGGCGTTTGCGATATCTGAGTAGAGGTGTAAAAGTCTGAGTTTTCAAGTTTCTAGTACACCCGGTCTTATTATATTCTTGTGAGGCCTGGACACTCACTAAGGGGCTGGGGGCAAAGACTAAACACCTTTGTGACAACCTCCATGCGGCGAATCCTTGGGCTTAGACACTTGCTCGGAGTAGGCCAAAGGAGTCTGCGCAGATGGTGGGTGCAGCAAGGTGCCACCCCGGCATGTGCCCCCATGAATGAATGAATGAGTACATGTAGCATTGCTAGCCTTGATACAAACTTACCAGCTGCCTAAATTCCCACCTTTGTTTCTACAGTTATCTTTGTTTTTTCCATCAAATACAAAAAGTTAATATGAAGTTAATAGAATATTTATTATTATTTAATATTACTTGCAGCAAGAAGTTAGAAACAGACATGAAGCCTTGAAAAATATGCTGTCACCGAGATCTAAAAGAAGATTGGATGAATCTCGGTAAATAAGATTTGCATCCTATGTCATAGTAGTCACGTTATAGTAGTCGCGTTATAGTAGTCACGTTATAGTAGTCGTGTTATAGTAGTTGTGTTATCGTAGTTACATTGTAGTAGTCATGTACATGTAGTGTCATGTTGTGTTATTGTACTAATATGCTACATGTATATTCACTATGGGCCCCATGTATTGTGTAAAATAATTCTGATATTTTCTGATTCAAATTTGTTAAATTGACAGCAATTCTGCCTAAAATCATTTCTCTGAGACATACATGGTGATTTCACACAAAATTTGTATCATGATCATACATATTGAATTACAGCTGCATGTTATATTTTTAGCTCCGCTGTCGACTTTGTCGAGCGGAGCTTATCATATGAGTGATTGTCCAGCATCGTCTGGCGTCCGTGTCAATGTTTTACTTTTTTGACTTCTTCTTGAAAACTACAAGCCTGAATGCTTTGATACTTGGTGTATATGTACCTTGGGTAGACCTCTCTCAGATTTGTTCATTTTGTAATGATATCTTTAATTCTCTAATTTTGGGGAATATTTTTGTCATTTTTAGTAAAAAGTGATATTTTCGACTTCTTGTTAAAAACCACAAGTTCAATTGCTTTGATATTACATATATAGGTACTACATGTGGACCTCTCTCAGATTTGTTCATTTTGTAATGATATCTTCAATTCTCTAATTTTGGTAAATATTTTTGTCATTTTTGGTAAAAAGTGATATTTTCAACTTCTTGTTAAAAACCGCAAGTCCAATTGCTTTGATATTACATACATAG